CAATGAGAATGATGTTCTTCAGGCAAAATTGCGGAAAAAAGATCTATACAATACTGAAATTTAATTCACATTTATTTTCCAGTAAAAAGTTGACAGCAAATGTACAAAAACTTTTGTTTATTTATGTTAAAAAGTTAAATTTTGCATCGATATAACATAATATTAACTTTTAGCACAACGTTGATAATTAAAACTTAAACAAATACATGCAATAAATTATGTTAGGCATTAATATTATTTTACAGCTATTCAAAAACACTTGTTAATTTACAAATTCAATATATATTAAAATTTTATTTAAAAACTATAATAGGAGCCTTTAGTATTAAATATTGCCTAAAACGATTTAGTTTACATTTAGATATATGGTAAAATCATGAGCTCTGATTATTTACAATTAACGAGTTAAAAATAAAGTTATTTGTTTCTAAAATGTGCATTTCTGTTATACATATTGCAATTAGCAAAATAACGTATCCGATATATTGAATACTTTTTAAAAACTCCCATAATTTATCACAAAATATGCTTAATAGAAAACAATGCACCAAAGAATGTACATTCACAACTCGCCACATCCAAGCAACACAGAAAAACCAGGTAGACTTGAAGACTGTATTTTGACGTGCCATTTGTACTGCAGAAACATTGGTGCGTTCAAGAGAATCTTGATAGACAGCTATATACCGATTCCATGCTGTTGAGCTTAGTAATAATTGACCAGTAAAACTAATAACTTTCTTTGCAACTTTTCTCACTGTTGGTTTAGGTTTTTGTCTTACAACAGGTTCTGGAAGTTTGGATTCAGTAACTGGTAATTGCGAATATCCTCTACGTGGTGGATTATTTTTTAAATATATGAAAGCGCCCAAGAGAAGAGCAATACAGCCCAATCCATCACATATACCATCAATGTAATATCCAGATGTTCCTACTTCTGATCGCTCACCTCGTATGTTCTTTTTCACTCTTGCAACATGTCCATCTAAGTCATCTAGAAACGTTCTAAACTGAAATAGAACAACACCCAATCGACGATAACCGAGACTACTAGATGCAACTAATTTACCCGATATACACGCTACAATTACATGGAAAAACGATATCATATTAGCTGAAACGAAAGATCTTGAAAAACCAACAACATTGTCGAATAATGTTGCCAATGGTGCAAATAAATAGTGGTTGGTATGATCAAGTAGAATTGCTTTAACTGTAACATGACATAATGGATTGTAATCACATGATAGCCATGTTTGTTGTTCATATGAATTGATACTGTTTACATCAGTTGGATCCACTGAAGTATTAAAATGATAGTTTCGGTCAATGGGATAATGTTGAATACGTAGATATAGCTGCACATCCATTGCAATAAAAAATATTATTACAAGTATCAGCAGCGTCAGTAATATTTTACTAATTTGTGAACTTGGACCCATCATTTTTGGTTTAAATTATTTATTTTAAGAAGCGTTAATACTTGTTGACTAGTCAATCATTTGTTCGAAGTGGTATCAAATAGTTTAAAACCTTAAAAATATATATGCATGAGATTAAAATACATCAGTTTAAAAAAAATTTATCACAATTACCTTAGAACATTTAAGTTCTAATTTCACTAATTAAAAGCCGATTGCTCTATACATTTGATAGTTACATATCTCACTTCGATTATCAAAAGCAAAAACAACTTTGTACGGTACTAAATTATTTCTGCAGGTCATCAAGATGTGTCAAGGAGTAAACACTTTTATTAATATAATTTAATTACGATGTAGTGAGTAAGCAGGTGTATAAAATCTGAAAAAAAAAATATATAGAATTCTATATAAATATATTATTTTGATTAGAACAATAATAAAAATAATTAAAGAGAAAATTATGAGAATTTCAACATTATCAATCTTTTATCACTCCCTGTTTAAAAACATATTGAAATTCTACAAAATTTCTCAATCCAAACATACATTTCAATATACAATAACAAAGCACTGCAAAATATTAAAAAAAATCCACACCTAATAATTCTCAAACAACACTATGTAATGAACACAAAAAAACCGATTACGAACCTGTTGGATTATTATCGATAACTTTTATTTGACAATTGCGACTATGGTTACTATCTAAATAAATTTAATAAACACTACATAAAAAAGCAAATATATTTATTATATCTTGAATATTTGATATATAATACTCAAAACAAGATATATAAAATCAATTAAATACAACAAATTAATTACGTGCTCATAATCTACGCATAGATTTACTCCAGATTTACTCTCACAGAGAGATGTGTTTGTAGTCGAAGAAATATTTCTAAGATAAATTAATACTTTTATTTTTCTACCAGGATTCTATGCTTGTAACATAGATTATATATTTTGTATAATCTATAACAATCTTAAAATAATGGAAATATTTTCAATATTAAAGCTATCAACGTTAATATTACCATTTGAAAAATCTGAAATGAGGTTCGGCTCTAAATTTACTCAGAAATATGTAACCTTTTAGTTTATTTGGTAAATATCATTATTTGAATTGATTTTTAGAAATTTAGTATAACAGTTAATTATAAGTTTCGTAAATAAAAATAAAATATTTCTTTTGTTTATATTATTTAATTATGAATTAAAATGGAAATGTCAATATTTAACACAGCGTATGGGAAACTGTCAAATCTGAATTGATTAATCAGCTGTTTGCAGAATATTTATGTTTAATTTTAGAGGCATGTTAAAAATTTGATAAACAAAATTTATAAACAAAATTTGTATTTGCAATTTTGCAAAAGTTTAGCAAGATAATATCAAATAGATGCAAAACGAACTCCTAATGATATATGATTTGTAATAGAACGTTTCCTTTATTTATGAAAACTAAATATCAACTAATGAGAAGTAAAATGAAAGGAAAATGGTTAATTTTTTGAAGAATTAATAAATAATAATAAAGCTGATAATTGTATGGGCCTATTTACACTATCATGAACGTGAGATGAACTTGACGACAACATGAACTGTCAGTATAGCAGGCCGATTCCACTATTCGCAATCGCTAAAATTCTTTAAATGCATTTTAGCGACTTTTTCGATTCTGCTAACTCGTTACGCTTAATTTCTATTCGCTAATTTGCTTAACTTTCAAAAACAGCTGATTTCTCCGGATAAATCGCTAAATCGCTAAATCTCCAAATTTCATATTTTGTTAAATTGACAGTCGCTAAATATCGTTAAAAACGACTAAAATTTCTCCTAATTTGATTGTTTTTGGCGGTTAGGTTTTTACTGTTGCTAAAAGTAAAAATATTATTTTTTAAACAAATTGAGCAATTATTTAGTATAATATTCATATTTATTTATTAATTAATTTATTGTGATAGAAATAAACTTGCATTTAAAGTTAAAATGTAAAAAAATTAATTATTAATATTACAAAAATTTTGTGGCAGTAATATAGTGAGAGTGTATTTGTAAACAAATGTATTATATATTTCATATTTTATTTTTATTTTTTGTAATTGCACCAAAAATAAATAAATTGCATATGAAACAGTGAACAAAATAAATAATTATGTACCCATTTTCACATATGTTATTTATTATTTAATTTTCAGATATTTATGATGGAATTCGTGGACTTAAAGACATGCATTTTATATGAGTATAATCAATTGCACCAATTACCCCTGGAAACCGAAACTTTTTATAAAATCTGCAAATAATTGTCAATTAACTACATTCTATTTTAACACAAGATTTCGAAGATTTACTTTTCTTTTATAACGCATAACTCCTGAAATGTTCTGCGCCATTTAATGTATTTTAGTACAAAATGACGATTCCTTATATTGGCAACCTCCTTAACGCATCTACTTACAACAGCCTGAAAAACATTTAATAAAAAGTTTTGGCCTACAGAACGCAGCGATACATTTAAATTGTTTCCGGTTTCCAAGTTCATGTTCATGTTACGCTCATGATAGTGTAAATAGGCCCGATGATTATTGAATAATTTTTATGATCATTTAAGAATAACCAATAATAAATAGTTCCTAGGTATTATCCGAAAAACAATTTGTTACAAATAAATATCAAATATTTAGAATATTTGATAGAAACATATTCATATTATAGGACAGTCAAATCATTTCTTGAATTTTAAAGCAGTAGATATTACTAAGAAGCCGTTGTAGTGGTGTCCCACAGTTTAAACATGTTGATGCAATTTAATTTATTTATATTTCTCTACTAGAAAAATGGTTTACAAAATCTATTAGACGATGTATTATCTGTTAAATCCTGTTATTTCGACATTGTTTATAATAGAATGAGGAAATCAAACATTTTCAAGAACTGGATCAATAATTCGTTTGTCTATCACATACTTTTCTTAGGCAAGTTGATGCGACTTACTAACTTACTTTAATAATGAATTCGCAATTAAGAAATCGCGTCGCATCTAAATACACAGTATCTATTTTATTGCACTTTTTATTGCTAATAAATTTTAATCATATGATACAAGTTATCATATACATCAGAGCTGTCCAAAACATGGCATGCGGGCCGCATGTGGCCTGCGACATATGTTTAATCTACTACAATTATTCAAAATTTCTTTTAATGCACTGGTAAAACTACATTATTTTATTTTTATACCAAATAAATTAATTTAAATTAATAACACTAAATCTTAACATCTATGAACATATGAACTTGTTTTTGCGGCCCTCCAATCTGTGCAGTAATTTGTATTGGTCCGCAATCGTAATTGGTCTGGACAGCCCTGATATACACGACAGATATATTAGATTAACTTATACAAAGCATGCTGGGCAATATTATGTCTCTGTATAATTACCACCAACGTAAATTATGATAATCTTCCCCTGTAACCACCAAAACGTAGTTTCGTTCAATTTTAACAAACTTCACTTTTTTAAACTTTTAACTTGTGTAAAATTTATATTTTAGAACGAAATTTATTCTCATTACTACTTTAGATAAATTAAAAATAATATTAATGTAATACGAAATAAATGCACCATAAAATATTAATTGTAGTTTGTTTTATTTTCAATCAAAATTGAAATTTATTTTTTACTGTTTAATATGATACCATCATATTTCTGTTGGAACCATTTCATGGCATCTTCCTTAGTTAGCCTATGTTGGAAACCAACTGTGCCAGATTTACGTTTTCTATGTGCGACATTGTAACCTGAAAATTTAAATTCTTTGTTATTCGATTACCGATTTAAATTATTTAATACATAATCAATTTATTTTATTTATAATTTGTTAATTCTGAACCGTATGAATTTTAAAAATCAAAAGCCATATTAAGCCCAAAATTTATTTATTTTTTGCACATTGACTGAACGTCAAATTGAAATACTCAAATAAACGTCTAATTTTGTGCACATAATATTAAGTTTATAGATCTTACCAGGACGTCCCAAAACAACGTAGAAATCCAAACCATAAATACCAATGGCAGGATCGTACTTTATGCCCAAATCAATATGTTCTTGAATACCGAAACCAAAATTTCCGGTTGCGGAGAAATTGTCGCGTCTTAACTCATATTCTCGGACTTTTAAACCACGCTCAAGAATTTCTTCTGCTTTTGCTCCACGAACTGTACAATGGACAGCAATCTTCTCATTACGACGAATTCCAAAGGAACGAACAGTGTAACGCGCTTTTGAGAAGACGGGTTGTTGACCAGTTAACTGCTCCAAAACCTTAAAATATACATACATTAGTCATATTAAAAAAAAAAATTAATATACTTTTACCTTCGCTGCTCGAGTAAGCCTATCACCAGATTCACCTACACAGATATTTAAGCATAGCTTTCTGATGTGCAAGTCGCGCATCGGATTTTTAGCCGGATCGCGCTTGATCTTTTTTTTCTCTTGTACTACTGCTGGCTGTCCATCACATACAAAATATAAAAGTAGAAAATATCAAAATATTTAAATTAAAATTTTTACTTAAAATCATTTCTTAATTCGCTATAAGATGCGTGATGTTTACAGATTTTTATTTAAACTTTGCACGAAACATACCGTCATAGCAAAAGTTAGCCTAAAAAAGAAAGAAAACAAGAGACAGTTTCGGGTTCAGTGGTATCTGTAATCGATAACACAGCAAATGTTAAATATAGAACAAGCCACAGGGTATTTGGCAATTAATAATTATCTTCTGCTACATACCACGCATTTTGAACTTATCATATGCATACGGCAATAAATATATACACTTTGTATGTCACAATTATAATAAATAAAATGTAAACATACATATACATATTAATAATAAATGTTTAATATATATATACTATATTTTACTATATTATATCATATATACTATATGATTCACAAAAAATTTGTTTTAATCAGATATATTACATATAAACAAAATAATGGCGAAAACACTAATAATAGGCGTTTTCGGTTGCTCGCAAGTATGGTAAAAAATGCATGCTCGCCTATACTCGCTAAGCGAGAAATTGGCATCACTGTTGCAATCTGTCAAGTGTTATGTTTTGGTAAATAGTAATTCTTGCATATGTGCACATAACGCAAACAAACAACATTTTACACAAAAATAACATAAATTGAAAATGAATACAAAATTAAAAGGAATGATAAAAATATTGAAAATTACAAAATAAAACATTGAAATTTTCCTTTTTTTTCCAATTATCAAATTTATGAAATTTGAATTTTTATTTACATGTAATTTTTGACACATGATTGCAATATTAGTTGGAATTTCCAACTAATTTTGGTAACACTTTTTTTTTAATGGCCGATGTGCTTGGCCAGTACATCTATATTGGCCGATGTAGAGAAAATATTGTTGTTGTTTTGCGTACAACAAGGCCAGTATAGACCAGTAAGTTGCTGTTGTTGCCGTGCTTGCGAGCAAAAAAGGCCTATTATTAATATTAATACGCAAGACCGTGCTTTATTCGCTTATCTTTACATAGGTTTCATGAGAAATTTGTTTAGAAAATATAACTAAAAGAATTTAATATTATTTAATAATATTAAATAATAATATAATAGGTTTAAAATAATAATTTATACTCTCAAGCAAATTTTATTACTCCCGAACAACCATAGTGGTGTTCCGCCAAGTACTTGTATTATTCTTAAAGTCTATTACCTAGTACAATCTTTGGGTATTTAATTTTGGCAACATCCAAGTTGGAATACTGTTCATGTTAACTAGGATCAAAGCAAAGCTGAAAGCTTTTAGCCTAGTTTTGCTTGTTATTCGAATGAAAGTTAATTTAAGGGTCTGAATAAGCATTGAGCAGCTGAGCGATTAAGCAACTAAGCAGCTATAAAAAAAATCCAAATAGTCTTATAATGGAAGGCTAAACGCCTGATTGATTTACAAATTGCAAACAAACAGTTCATTTCAATTTGTTTAGTGAAACCTTATATATAAAACCGTATTAAAACTGTAGTAAAAAAAACAGAAAACGTCTTGGTAAATATTATAATCTGTATAGAAAGTTCCAGAGATATTCTTTGAATATATATGAAAAGTGTTGAAATTTTAAATACCGCTAGAAAATCGGTTTATAACAATTTAGAAAACTATTGCATATATTTTCCACACGGTTTGAATAAAAGTTCATTAAGTATCATTGAATAAGCAACACAGCCTTTTTTATAAATCGCTAATAATATAATTATTACACTTTCCGATTTTAAAGAAAGACGTAAGTACTGTTAAGAACTGTTAACAATTATTATAAGATAATATAATAATAAGTTAACATTATTACAGCCTCTATGAATTTTTTCTTGCTAGTTATTTTTGGTGGCAAATTGAAAGTGAGCATATCTATATTTCCTTTTAAAGGACACTCTGTATAACATGCATTTTCGGCATAACCCGATAACTCTGCCGTACCCGAGACTCTCTGCATAATGTGGCCCTTAGACATCATTGAGTGAAAGAAAAAATTACAGACACTCAATTCAATCTAGCGAGCACAATAGGGACGCAAAAATATCTACAGTCCGAGAGGCTTACCAAGCGTAGGTTTATAGTTAAGAGTAATACAGGACAAATGATGTTTACAGAACATAACATTCCGAATTTTTGAAACAAATGAAGAATTTATAATCACTAAATGAAGAAAAATATATATTACCATTCGTTTTCGTAAAAAACGCAATCGTTCCTAGGTCATTGCAATGGCCATACTAAGGCCACACTAAGCCAGGTTTTAAGGGAAACGAAAAATTTTTCAAACTATAATTAAATAAATATAAAAATAAACGATATTAGCGTTAGACATCTAAAATCAGCTTTTTCCATATATAGTATAAATTAATTTCACAATATGTAATAACTACATATTAGTTGGCTCTTGCCAAGTAACATACTTTATCACACAATTTAGACTAAAAACTCTGTTATAAGAATATAAACATAAACTTAGATAGTATGATTTAACTTATCAAAAATATGTAAAGTAATATTTCAAAAATTTTTTGTTAATATTATTACATTGTTCATTACCATAAACAGTGTTCAGGTCAGATTACACCGACGATCCTAAGGATCCACAAAAGCCTGTTGGACCACATTATTAAATTTGCTGTTTAAATCAAAATTTTTTTTAATTGAAAATTCTTAAAGTCAAAAAAAAAAAAACGCAAATGAAAATCAAGCTGAAAATGAATTTATAATAAAACAATATTCTAGATTAACGTTAAGAACTTTATTGGACTGTTCAAGTAAAACGATTTTTAAATAAGCCGCTGTTATGTTTACTTTCGTAATAATATTGTTTCATTTAATTCTTTATAGCTGCCAAGTTGAGATACCTACCTTTTCAAAATAGCAAATTTACCATTTGGCATAATAAAGTTGATTGAATTTATCAACAATTAAAATAGTTGTATAATCATGATTTCGAATATCTACGAAAAATCGGGAATTGAAAGTATAAATGTTTATAATATATTAAAATAATATATATAACTTATATTAACTAATTTTTTAAACTTGATTATGAGTTATACCACATTCACAATATCCCATTTAGGCGGTTTTGCTCATCAAAGCATAAATTTCCATGATGGAAATTTTAAATATGTGTCATATGTTTTATAAGTAAGATGTAAACAAGGCACTGAGGAAGTAAATGTTTATTAAAATCTGAGGTTTTATAATTTAAATATGTAGTTGATACATAAAATGTATATAAATGATTTAATATATTAATTATATATTTTATTTTTTTGTGTGATATATTATTAAGTAAAGTTTATAAAAGTTCTATCAACTGCATAAATGAGCTCATTATAATGTGAACGTTCACTCATCAATTTAAACGAGCAAGTACTTTAATAAGACAGTGTGAATGTACTATTGCTTAAAAATTTCCACATTACTAATTTATTATTTATTTAATTATATATGTATATATAAATTTGATTTTTAACGTCCGTTTTGACGAAAGAAACTAAATTCTTAATATAAACTATTATTTTTAATAGAGATGTGTCAGATGAAAATAGACGGTTTTTATATATAAAATGTATTGTTTTCGCTTTATCTGGCAGTGTCTACTCTAATGTACTTTAAATATTATTCAAGCTTATCAAACATGCACTTTCATAAATACACATTCCGTTTACGCGAGCCTTAAAAGTTGTTTTAATTGATGGACGACAAGAAATATACACTATTTACATCATATTTATGAAATAGTTCGCCAAGAAATATAAGTCGAAAGTTTTGTCATTTTTTTTAAAGAGTTGTAATCGTATTTCTCTTAATTTTGTAAATTTTATACGGGGTATTCCTAAAATCTTCATTGTTGTTGTATTATATTTTTCCGCTATTTTGATTATAATATCTTTCTTTTGCTATAAAAGTAAAATAATTTGTAGTTTTACTCTAAAAATTTTTAAAATGTTTAAAATCAACACCGCTGAACAGCTAACTGATTGGCAGCTATCTTAAAAGTGCTTTTAATTCTTGTGGATAAATGCTTTAAAAACTAATTTTAAAATCAGTTTTAAAAGTGATTTCAAGATTCGTGTAAACGTAGTTACACTTTCGGAATTAGTGCTTTCTTATGAGAAGTAAATAATTTTTTACCAATTAATTGAATACCTATAAAAAGTTTGAAATAATTGCATCAATTAAACTTTTAAGTTGATTTTTAAGTAACATTTTATATAAAATTAATTCAGAAATAAATTTGATATAGGGAATATATTTCAAGATATGTAATATAAAAATTAATATTAAATGCGTTTTGAGAAGTTAATTTTAATTTTATAATATTTACCTATATATAACATAAACCAGAATAGAAATCACATTGTGTAAAACTAAAAATACCTACAAATGTTGGAATGTTTATCGGATTTTTGTGTATGGAAAAATTTTTGTTAATGTGGCATCCATATCAGATAGATTTTGTTTGATACCATTAAAAAGCCTTTGTGGCTTTATGTGTATTTGATCTTGTTCGCCGACATAGGACGTTGAGTGTATACGTTTATTCACGCTAAAAGTTTGTTAGTTCTCTTAGGTTTGCAGAAACTTCAAAATGGTATGTTATTTTTAGTAAAAATATATGTATACATAATAATTTATATTTTGTGCTAAAAAAATGTGTGGGAGCAATTTTTTAAATATTAAATATATTCCAAAAATCATATATTTTGGTATAAATGTGTAAAATTAATGTTGGTATATGTATGTACAACGAAACTTGCCGGAAAATACTATAGTATTGTTGGGATAATAAGGCAAGACAGATAGACATAAAAGGCAATAATTTTGCATTATTCATAGTCTTGCGAATGTATTGACATATGTGTGTGTTCAATAGTTGTGTATATCAATGGTAATATGCAATCAAAAATGAATCATAATTTTTATTAAAATTAAATTTAATGCAAATATCATAAATTTGACGATAAAGATTGCGTAAGTCGCTAGAAAATTGTATTTTCATATTTTAGGAAATAGATATATATATATATATCTATATATGTATAGAAATAAATGAAGTGGATTCAGTTAAGTTTTTTTTTTTTTCTACATATATTTCTTTGTATGGGGTAGTTTTATGTACGAATATACATGTTCAAAAAAAGTAAGTAGGAGG